GGGAGCTTGCACATCACTACAGTGGCGTCACTATAGTAATGTTCGACCTCCTGCTTGGATGACACCGCCACAGCTGATTTACATCAGGGCCAGTTATGTTTAAATGCAAGTATCCTAGGTAGTTTCTTGGGGTGCATACCATCTCAGGTATGCATAAGGATCTTAGCGTAGGCCCCCAGCAGATAGGGCTGCCACCCGTGATATATTGGTTCTTTAGATTTTCCCTGTGGATGCAGCTACTAATCACCTCCATTTCCTGCTATTTAAATTTTTGATGGTTTGTTATTCCATTCATCCATTTTGTTCTGCCTCTGCTTCTACAACTTTCGATAGACCACAGATTTGTCTTTCTGTAATGAATTTTCTTTTCTCATAAGATGTCCAAAATATTTCAATTTATGGCTACAAGCGAAGGGCCCTACTTGACGTCTTCTAGTATTGATGTTAGTGCACCTTGCAGTCCCTGGTAGCCTTGGTAGCTTTCTCCACGTCCATAATTTGAAGTATCTAATTTCTTCTAGTCCTCTTTTTTTTTTTTTTTTTTCTTTTTCTTTTTTTTCTTTTCCCTTCTAGCTTTCATAACCGAACACTACATCAGATAATTCCATAGTTTTAATAATGTTAACTTTGTTGTTCTTAGATATATTTGCATTTTTTGTGATTTACAGTTATCTAGCTATTGATGTTTTGTCCATACCCACACTTCTTTGTGTCTTGAATTTCTCTCACTGGTTATATATAGGAAAATGTACCTCTGTATAGTCTTAATATTTTGGCCCTGTATGGAGTTGTTTGCTTCATCGCTGATGCTCATAACCATCTAGTTGATGTTAAGGTGTGGCTTGAATTCCTTGCTTAAGTTGTTGACTTTTTAACAGGATTTCTAGATGTTTGTCATTTTCCATGAGAAGAGTGGTGACGTCTGCATACCTCAGACTATTTATTTTTGCACCCTGCTATTTTCCCTGCAATCTTTATTTGTTCTATACCTGCTTGATTCATGATGTTCTCTGTTTATATCAAATAAACTGGGAGGCAATATGCAACCTCGTTGCATGCCTTAGTTAAAACTGATCAAGTTAGTATTGCCTTGCTCTGTCCTCACTTTGCCATCTGATTTGTATACAGATTATTCACTAGGATTATTAGGTGTTCAGGAATTACCATGTGCTTCATAGATTCCTGCATTTTGTAGTGGGCAACACAATTGAAAGCTTTGACATAATCAATAAAGCAAATTAAAACTTACTTTTAAATTGTTTTGCATGTTTAATTATCCTTCTCATATTTGCAATTTGATGTCTTGTGCCTCGTTTTTATCTAAAGCCTGCTTGTGTCGGAGATAAAACTATGCAGTTTTAGAGTTTCTTGAGAAACTACTTTTCTTGTATGTGGTATCAATGCAAGGTCCTCTTGTTTACGCATACTCTACTACTTTCTTGGGCAGGGCATGGTTTGGCATATTTTTTATTACTTTTATGATAATTCATGAAACTGGAATAGTAACACTGGACAAAAATGCATGTTAAGGCAGGAAGCCAATTGGATAAATAAAAAACGGCGACAAAGTTGCAGTTTGAAGCTATTTCATTTGATGATTCTTTTTCCAGGCAATTCGGAGAAGCCTGGAATTATACCAAGATCTTTGAATCTTCTTTTTAACAGTATTAAAGATAAAGTGTCAAAGGATGTAAAATTTAAACCAGAGAAACTGAACAATGTTGTATGGTTGAGACCAGAAGAAATAGAAAAAGATCGGGAAATCAAGGAGTCCATTCTAAATTTTAACTTGGAAAAAGTGAGTATTGATTGAAAATCATTCCTTTTCTTGTCTGTGAACTTGGGTACGAGTTTTATTAATCAATATTCACCAGAGAAGGAAAGTACTACAGATCTCTGAATTATTTGTCAACAACATAGTTTAAAATTTTAAAGATGCTTATGATTCTCTTGTTAACTTTTGTTTGCAAGTTTATCAAAATATTAGCAACACCAGGTTACTGAGGTTAGTAATGTTAGTCAGATGTCCATGGATGAGTTACCATCTGGGAACATGTTTATACAAGAATTTTCCTAACGATGGGATAAAGTGACAGATCGGAAAA